GAGAGAGAGAGAGATCACCATTTGTCGCCAAAGTTGTGTTAGTCATAATTGATCAGGGGTATTGGTAATTCTATATATTGCTGTATAACTTATTCTTGTATTTGTAGTTCATGATCATTGTAAAGGACAAAATGTAATTTCTGGATTTATTCGTACTCTTATCTAACCCTTAATTAATTAGAATTAGAAGCTATATAAATGTATTTCTTTGTGAGCAGCCCCTCACTCGTGAATGAATTAGGGGTCACATCACTGTTCTTTGGCTTCCTCTCCATCCATCTCTACCTGTACCACTAGTTCTTCTCTCTCAAGTGTTCATGGTGATATTTTAACAAGTTGGACACCTTTAAATACGGCTTTGGAAGCCTTTCAAAACCCTCCTTTTGATAAATGCTGATTTAAGAATCTCTTTCCCTTTGAAAAATTTACAGAAAATGGATTGGTGTAATTTTAGATTTTTTTTATTGATATGCATTTATTGATTTCTTTTTATGATTGACATGCATGCATGTTTTGCATCCTTTAATTTTAAAATGTAAAGACTATGAGTATCTTGACTTGTTGAAAGACACCTATGAATTAGGTGCTCCCTCCAATATGGGGTCATACTCCTTCTCTGGGAGTAGGGAATCGAGTTCCTTGAGCAGGATCGCCACCCATTTTAGGAGATGCTCATAAGTAAGGGTTGGAGATGGAGCTGCTGAATGTTTCTCTGCCTTGACATCGATGAAGATAGAAACCTTATGGGCATTCATTGCAAGGACCGAGAAGTATGGACATCCTATGTGCCTTGAATTCACCTCCTTCACCTAGTACAAAACCTCCTAAACTCTAGAACTTGGTCGAGGAGGTCCTAATCAACATGGTCCCTATGCTTTTCAGTGGTCGAGCTTGAATATTAGGCCTGGATGTTTGGACTAGTTTGGAGAGTTAACACATTCATGAGCTACTAGTGTGTCATCCAAAATTTGAGAATCTTTCAAAAAGGCACCTTGAGTTAAGGTAACTAAGCTATGGACTTCTCAAAGGTAGGTTGCTAGGACTTTAGCCTGGATTTTATAAGAGCTGTTACAGAGTCTTATGGGCCTAAAGTCCTTGAGCTCCTTTGCGCCCTTTATTTTTTTCACTAAAGAAATGAAGGTGGCCTTCTTGCTACGATTTATGATGCTCCTATTGTAGAGTTCCACAAACAGGGTCATCATGTCAAGGGCAATTGTGTCCCAGAATTGGTGGAACGACACCACTGGGAACCATCTGGAACTGGAGCCCTGTCATGATTGAGGTCGGCTACTGCCTTACAGATTTCTTCTTCAAACGGTCGCTCTAACCACTCCTTCCTCTCAGAGGGGATGATTTGAAAGTTTAGGTTCAGTGTCCTAGGCCAAATCTAATCTGTCTTTGAGAACATGCCACTGAAGTTCTGAGTGATCCATTCATTCACCTTGTAGGGTCCTCACATAGACGTATTTTTGTTTCTTCGACATTGGCAATCTTATGAAAAACGAGTGTATTATTGCCACCCTCCTTGAGAATTTTATTCTCGACCTCTGAAAACAAAAGATTTCCTCTTGATTGAACTGAGTGAAATTCAATCTTTCCTAGCTTGCCTTTCCCTCTCCTTTGCTTCCAGGTCTCTTGACTCCTCCGCGAGATCAAACTCGTTAATCTCCTAGAGGACTCCTTCCCACCCTTTTACTCCAATGAAGTTCTACCACCATTTGGGAATGAGCCACATCAACTTGAATCTAATACGTTTTTTGCTAGGTTATATCAGAACAGTGTCTATGAGGACTGGGCTATGGTCTGTGATAGGCTTCAGGAGGGTTTGAGAATGAGCCCCTTTAAACACCTCATTCCATTCCGGAGTGGTTAGTCACGGTGGGGCTCTCAGCATGACTTGCTAGGTGAAGGATGCCCATTCAGTGGCAAGTTGATCAGGTTGCTTTTATGTACAAAGTAAGAGAAATTCACCCTACTCAAGGACTTTGTGAAAATCCCGGGCAAAGTCCTTGCCATCCTGCCTTTGAGAGGTCCTTACATTCAGGTATGGTATTCAAGCCCGATTGGAAAAAGGCCTACAATCATGTTGATTGGGACCTTCTCCACTAGTTTCTAGATTCTATGGGGTTTGGGACTAGTTGAGGATTTGGATTCAGGGTGCACAGGATCTATGTACTTCTTGGTCCTTTTTCTGTCGTTTTAGTTTTATTCTTTCTGGCTCTCACCTCTACTCATTGCCAAATTTCTTTTCTAAATTGTTTAATATTATAAAATTTTGTTTGAGAATAGATGGACTCACAAATAGAGAACAAAATAATTCACACACATACATATGTATTTAGATTGCATTGTTCTTTGATAATTCAATTCAGGGCACCTTGTGTCAAGTTGTTTTTGCACTCCTTCTCTGTTCTTTGTTGTCTTGATTTGTGAATGTGGCTGTTCTAGTATGGGTTTACCATTTTTTTTTCCATTGTTGGGCTGCACATAAGCTGCGTTTTTGCACTTCACCATTTACTTAATCTCATGGGTAGGATGCTCTTCCATGTATCCTCCCAATCCTTTATTTATTTATTTTCCAATCAGTAGACTATTGCTTAGGCCGGCTATTCTAATTTTTTCAATGCTTCTTCTTCCACACTACTAATGCAATTTATAGATTTTGTTACAATGCATTTAAAGTAACATTTTTGTTAGATCAGGAAAGGGTAATTTAGCTACTCCATGAGTATTATTTTCCATGAAGTTATTTCATCTCAATAATATTTCTTTTTTAAAGAAGAGAACTTTTGTATGTCTTTTTTGTACTAACTTCTCTCTCTTTCGCCAGGTAACTTTTACAGAATCCGCAGCGCCTTTGCCTTTGGGGCCAAAAGGTTAGCCCGACTGCTTGAGTGCCCAAAAGAGAGCCTAATTGCCGAAGTGAACCAGTTCTTCATGAACACGTGGGAGCGACATGGAAGCGGTCAGCGCCCTGATGCCCCCAGCCCATTCCTCTGGAACCTTCGACCTTCAAATTCCAGCACCCTCGAAGGCACCTCTAGTTTAAGAAATCAAGCAAGTACGAGCAACCCCAGTGGCCGAGATGATGGGCTCATACAAGCCAATCATGTGCCCCATGTGGTGGAGCAACCTGTGGCTTTTCGTAGGCAGTCCTTAATCTCTGAAAGTGTATCTAGGGTTTCTCGTAGCCTGAGCCAGAAAACCCATGGTAGCAACAACCATGACCAACATCTCGCAAGAGTGGTCTCTGCCCAGGCATCGAGGAGCACTAGCTCGAGTGAGCTTGTGAATTCTGACAAGGTTCCAAGAATGCACAAGCCTGATTACTCTGTGCTCGAGCGAGAAGTTCAGGGAAGGTATCATTTTGCAAGAACAAGGTCTAGTCCTGAGCTAACTGACACCACTGAAACGTCATTGAGAGGAAGGCGTAACAGGGTGGGTCCTGAGGTTTCCCGAAAAACCCAGTTCAGTTCATCAAGGCCTGAGATTGGTGGTGGTCGAAGGAAGAATGTGGGTCCTGATATTCAAAGTGTGGGCCATAGTATAAGGCCTCAAGTGGAGGACCCATTGTCAGTGATGCATAGCTCATCGCATCAAAATCTTGATGGTCCAGGCAATTCAACCAGTGCTTCGAATAGCTACCAGGAAGATGGGGGCACGAGTGGTGCTGCAGATGAGCTTGCTTCTGTTACGGAATCTGTGGACTTGCTAATGCACCAAGAAGAGCAAGATCTGGTTAACATGATGGCTGCTTCTTCAAGGGGTTACCATGGTTTTAACGGGCCGGTCCATATTCCTATGAACCTCGGGTCTCTTCATCTTTCAGGTCCTATTTCACCCTCTGTTTTGGCTTCTATGGGATATGCTCAAAGAAATTTAACAGGAATGGTCCCAACAAACCTCCCCTTGATTGACCCAGCTTGGGGATCAGGCATGCAATTCTCTCAAGGCTTGGTCCCTTCTCGAGTACCCCATTATTTCCCCAACCTTGGTTTGGGTTCGAATCATGAAGATGTACATGATTCTGGTAATGAGAATACTGGGACAACAGAACTGAACGAGGAGGAACTGGGCAATGCTGGTTTTTGGCAGGAAAAGGATTTAATTTCTACTGGTGGGCCTGATCCAGAGGATTCTGAAACTGCCCACATGCTTCACTATGATAACAAGCAACAAAGTAAACCCATTGGGTTCGGTTCCATTCCGCCAACAAGGAACACTAACCAAAGTGGTGGTCCTTTTATTAGAGGGCAACAGCATCATAAGGTTGCAAAGGGACCATTAAGGGAAGATCATGGAGATAGTTTCCAGTACCCCAATAGCAGAGGAAGTGATACATCTGAAAGGAGTGTGAGGTCTTTACCAGGGCAAGATGCGAATTCCTCTAGAACAAAAGCTGGGTCTGAGAGTTCATGGGATGGGTCCTCTACAAAGTCCTCCAAGTCTTCAAAAGAGAAGCGGGGGAGAAAAGTGGTTGCAGGTAGTGTTTATGGGAAAACAAAGACTGGATGGCAGAATGAGGGAGGTGCGTCCTCATTGTCGGATCAAGGCTCTGTACCTGACGAGACAGATAACAGGGAATGGCACCCAATTTCAAATGTAGGGGTCTCACAAATGACTTCAAGGACCATGGGGCCCACATCCCCACATGCTCGGGCTCACCAGTTGCCTAACTATGAACCAGCACAAGTGGGGGATTCTGACTCTATGATCCCCATTGGTCCGATGCTCGTGGCACCTGGTTCTCAAAGGCAGAGACCAATGGACAATCCACCTGGTGTAGTTCCTTTTGCTTTCTACCCCACAGGACCGCCAGTCCCTTTTGTTACCATGGTCCCGGTCTATAATTTCCCTGCTGAGACAGGAAATTCAGATGGGTCACCATCCCATGTCGATGGAGACGATGGGTTAGATGGTAATCGGATGAACCAGTCGGACCATGGTCTAAGCGGATCAAATTTCGATGCTCAAGAGAGCATTGATCAGTCTGAGGTCCTTCTGGGCTCTAGCACAATGGAGGGTTCAATCACGGAGCCCCGAGAAGAGTTGAAGTCTGATATTCTCAATAGTGACTTTATCAGCCATTGGCAAAATTTGCAATATGGAAGGTTTTGTCAAAACCCAAGATATCATGGGCCATTGATTTATCCTTCACCTATGGTCGTACCGCCAGTTTATTTGCAGGGGCATTTTCCATGGGATGGACCTGGTAGACCCATGTCCACCAATATGAATATCTTCACCCAATTGATGGGTTATGGCCCTCGCCTTGTGCCTGTCGCTCCTCTGCAGCCGGGTTCTAACAGGCCTGCCGGTGTCTATCAGCACTTTGGTGATGACGGTCCAAGATATCGTGGGGGCACTGGAACGTACTTGCCAAATCCAGTAAGTTTTTAGACATTTTTAACCTTTATGCCTCCACTGGTTTTTCATTTTCACTCTCTTACTGTGACATTCCTATAATCCTGTGGATTATTGAAAAGCAATTATCCATTGGGGGTTCCTTATCCATTCCTGTGCGATGAAATGATGGCTCCTTGTTGGAAGCCCTACGAGGTGTTTTAGATTTTTTTTTTTTGGTTTCCTTTTTCCCGCCCCCCAAAATGAAGCTGAACTATTGCTTGAGGTTAAAGGATGCATACTTTGTTTTCTATTTTTAAGCTAGTTCAAGATGTTTTATTTTGGTCTAAGAATGGTGAGGACCTTAAACTTTCCATTAACCTGTCCCAAGCCCCGGTTAAAGGGGTAGGTTGTGTTAGGTAGGCAGCCAGCGTAAAACTTTGCGCATGAATCCGGAATCTACGATGTCTGCTTTAAAAAGCTTTATTATATAAGAACACGTGGCTGAAACTGTATCTATTATATAAGAACACGTGGCTGAAACTGGATCTAAAGTTCAAAATTCACTATGGCTCCCTACCGGAAACTTTTTGATTTCCAAATTTGGAGCTAGGGTATTTAGCCTTCTTTGAAGAACCTGGCCAAGTTGGTGAGTATCGAAAAGGTGAAAGTATGCGTCCGTTTATCATCTTGAACCAACTGATTTCTAAAGTCCAAACCTGAAACTCAGTTTAAGGTGTTGTCAATCGTGAGGTTATTGTTTGAACCCAACTTACCAATCACAAGTAAATAAGTCCACAACCTGGTTTTAAAATATTGTCTGTAAATTTTCATGGTGTTCACTAAATTATATCTCTCTCTCTCTCTTCGTCCCTACCTCTCTCTCTCTCTCTCTCTCTCTCTCTCTCT